ATCAAGAGGTTGGGGCGGATAGTTCGAAGTTAGGCAGATAAGCATATAGTGGTGGGTGCTTTCTTTTTGTCCAAGAAGGTGGATACCGTGTTATATACTGTCACGCAACACTAGAAGGTGTGCTTAATCTTCCGCTTTCTTTGTTGTCTTATCCTATTATCGTACGTATTTGTTATGAGCGAAACCTGAGTTAGTTAGTTGACTATTTCTTTTACATCTATTATGGGTCAACTGAGTTAGTTAAATTGTATTGTGAGCTAAAAGCTAGGCAAATTCAATGGTTTTAGTAAATGGACATAAGCTGTTTGTAGTTTGTGACCCTTACGGTTTTAGACTTCTGGTAATGGGAGGTGGAATAAATAATGATGGTGTTGGGAAGATAGCTTGAAATTCTTAGCTTTTTTTTTTTTTTTGACAAATTGCTCAAAAGATTAAAAGACCCTGAGTTGCAAATTTTGACATTGCTACAGTAGCGCCGCCATGAATAGTAGCACACATAAACACTAGCACTATCATGAACAGTAACTGCCACAAAGATAGAATGTCCGCAGTGGCAAAGTCTGAATAAGAAATCAACGCCGAAAGTTTTTTCGTACTGCGTGCATCATTAACCGCCGCCTCTACAGTAACCGTATAGTAACTTGCTACAGTGAAACGAAAAATTTGTGAAGAGCAATGTGTGCTTTTGAGTACTTTGTGCGTCTCAAAACACTAAAGAGAAAGAGAGGCAGCAAGGGGTGAGAGAGGGTGAGGTGTTAAAAATGTAGCCTTATGTCAAAAGGCTTAGTCCCTAGGAGGGTACCAAGAAAATTACCGGGTTACAGAGTTAACAGGGCATAAAGCATACCTGTCCGGTATAAGCTGTGAGGCTATTGGAGAGTATTTAGAGGATTAGATCATATATGTTGCATAAAATTATAGATAAAATAAGATAATAATTATTTTATATTATATTTTATTTATATTTAATAAAATAAGATTACAAGAATGATTATCATTTTTTTGATATAAAATGATTTAATCATTTTAAAGTGAAAAAGATTATATTTAATTCATGAGATTAAATTTATATGTTTTAGTACATCTTTAAAAATTAAATCAATAATTTAAATTATATAAATTTTTAAAAAATAATTTTAATCAATAAATAAATTATTTTATTTAAATTTTTGTATATATTAAATATAAAATAATATAATATTATTTAATCTAATCATATTCATAATATCATTTTGTTCTATCTTATTATAATTTTATATATCAAATATGATCTTAAACACTTGTATTCATATAAATTGTTATAGTGAAAATTTTTCATCATCTTGGACCTTGAATGTAGGCATGATGCCGAATCATGTAAACATGATGTTCTTGTTGGTTTATTAATTCTGTATATTATTTTGTCATGCATCTTTCCTCGATTTTCAAAACAATCAGTATTGAAACTTCCATTATACCTAACAACTGGTAACAGATCATCCTCGACGATCCAAAAGTATAATCAGAGCTGTTTCGTCCTTTCCAAACCTAACAAAACAAGTGGGTCTAGTATTCTTCTTGAATAGGAGAAACAAGGAAATGAATACTGTAGACATCTCATTTTGTCCGAGATTATTTGTCAATTGAGATTAATCCAAGCTCAGTTGCAAGGATTTTTATTCATTTTTATTTTAGATTTTTTTTATTTCATATTTATCACTTTTTTATTTATTATCTGATTATTTTAAAAAAAAAAAAAAAGAAAAAAAATTGAGATTAAGTTGGATGATGATCAGAAAGCATGATTGGTGGCTAATCTTTAGCATTGGAGGACTAAGTGGAATAGAACTGAAATTCTATAAAAAACAACATGGTTTTATAAAACGGAAAAAAGATGGAGGAGAAATCGGAATAGGAGAGAAGAAGAATCCGAATAGGAGACGAAAAAAAAAGGGGAGAAAAAAAAGAGAGAGTAGTAATCTGAATAAGAGGAGGAGTCCGAATAGGAGAGAAAAAAAAAAGGGGGAAAGCCCCATCTCCACCAGCCCTCAAGGCCTCTCTTTGGTGGGCGATCTCCCCTTCCATGAAGTGCTTAGAGACCAAGACATCGCATTTGTCAATCGTGACGTGCCTGTGACTGCCCTCTAAGCAAACGGCAGATGTGACATAGCTGGGAACCTCGGGTTGAGCTGTTGAAATGGAGAAGCTAGCTAGACAGCCCGTGTGTGACCATGTAAAGGCGAAATCATAGAAGCAGGATCTTAAGAGGGAAAAGAAATTCTGGAGATGTCAGTCTCGGGTTCAGCGGCTTTAAGCTGGTGATAAAAAGACAAGTTCTTTCCCATGCTTCGTGTGTTCAGAGGCGAAGGCATAATCAAGTCAGGGATTGATTTTTATGACAATGGTATGTGGAAAGAGGATCATGAGGGTATTCGGGGTGTGATACATGACTTTTCCACCATTTTCACTTCCTGCAGTCCGTAAAATATTACAGAAGCAGTGAGTGGTATATCTCAGGTATTACACCCACAATGAATGATGATCCCATCCGGGATCATGGTCTATCGCAAAATCAAAATCCTGGGGGCATCCCGTTAGATCGAGGTGCTAGAGGCACCCCTCTCGAGCCAAAACGAAGTTACCCAACGAAGGAGATCACGAATGCTTGCTGGTCAAACATTAGCGGCTAACCCCTAGGGTCCAAAGGAGACTTGCAATTTACTTCGTCCTTTGAATATCTTGTTGACAAGGATACTGAATAAATTATGCATCTGATTTATTGCTGGAACGCAACCGTGAATAGTGTTTGGTTCATCTTTTGGTTCTTTCTCTTACATTGCTGATCACTCTTGTGCAGAAAATTACAGGAAGCTAAGGAGCAGCAACAGGAAGAAAGATCCAGAGATCAGAAACTGACAAAAAAAATTCCCCTGATCCCGTTACCAATTTTGCTTGAGCGCATGAGCAGGTCTGTTGAGCAACAAAAGTTGGCACAGGCGCAAGCTGAGCCCAATCGCAGCTGTCTCGGTCTCGAGCTCAGGAGCCGTGGCGATAGTCCATGAAGAAAGGTTTTGCTTTGAAAGAGGAGGTGGAAAATCACCTGTAGAACCTGTTTTGGAGAACACGTTGGAAAAGGCGCTCCACTTTGTTACGTCGAGCAACGTGTATGGCTAAGATGGTGGAATGTGCAACTGATCCTTCTTTGGCTGCTTTTCAGAAGCTGTGTCCAAGGACCTGCAAGCTGTTGAATAATCAGAATTTTATGGCTAAGGCTTCCTTTTTGGCGGTAGTGGCGAGTTGTCACAGGAGGGAGCAATTGGCACCTTAAAGCTTGGAATCCTTGCGGTAAGCATCCATGAACGCCTTGGGAGCACAGATTGGATGATGGCGAAAGGCAGCAATTGATATCACAGATGCAATTACAGACTACTCAGCTGCAACAACAATTGGGTTTGCAACAGCAGCCCAATCAATTACACCAAAATATGCAGCCAAGGATTCACGCATCAAGCTTGGAGTTTTCAACAACAAAGCTTCATGTTATTCGAGCAGTTGCTGTCCTTGGAGGTTTTCTTCAAAATTTTCTCTTCACGTGTTCGTGTGGTATAACAATTTCGCTATATGTTTTTTGCAGTTATGTGGAGAACTGTGCTGTGGGTTTGCTGTTTGCTTTACTTCAATTCTAGGTGGCAGTTCTGGTGTCCTTCAAGGAGTACTATCCACGACTAAATCGTTGACTAGGGAGCTCTATCAGTTGACATCCATAGCATTTTTGCTTGCTTGCTGTTTGGTGATGAGCTGGGTTCATTTGTTGCTGGAATGATGATATCAACCTCTAATTTGAATCAGCATACACTTGAACAAGTTGAGCAAATTCGTAATTGCTTTGTTGCTCTCTTCCTGGCCAGTATTGAGGATGTTGATTCATGTGCATTTCTTTTTGAATCACGTTGATATATTGCTAGCAGCTGTAATATTAGTGATTGTTATTAAAACCATGGTAGTTGCTGCAGT